TCTAAGGTGCACCCCACCGCCCCCCTCCCTCGACCCACGGCGCCTGATGGCAGCTCTAAGGGGCACTGCGCAGCCCCCGGCCCTGGGCGCACGGCGCCTGATGGCAGCTCTAAGGGGCACTGCGCAGCCCCCGGCCCTGGGCGCACGGCGCCTGAGGCGCCTGATGGCAGCTCTAAGGGGCACTGCGCAGCCCCCGGCCCTGGGCGCACGGCGCCTGATGGCAGCTCTAAGGGGCACTGCGCAGCCCCCGGCCCTGGGCGCACGGTGCCTTATGGCAGCTCTAAGGGGCCCTTGTCTCTTTGGGTGAGTTCTCTTCAGCTACAGCAAAGAAAAAAAAAAAAAAAACAAAAAACCAACAACATGTTCCTCCAACATAAATAACAGATTCAACTTAGAAACATCCAGGGAGCTACTATACTGAGAAAAGAAGAGACCATTTTTGACTATAGCCTCATCAGATTCTAACCACATAATTTTGTTTTATTTCTGGTTCACATGCTCATGTGAATTTCACAGCTTGTTTCTACACAGAAGCCAAGCTGTTGTCATAATTCAGGGCAATTGCACCTCGATTCCCACTCCATGGTCCAGTCCAAGGCACCCACCCTGAGACTTCCAGTTCCCCACCTGCTGCAACCCTAGGGTGAAAATCTGTGTCTCTCCTTTCTGTATGGGGCTTTGCCAGCCTGCACAGTTCCCTGCCTTCACTGTGTATTTGCCAAGAACACTGGTTACTTTTCTCTTCAGGGATGGTTAACAGGTTTAATTGCCCCAGTTTAAGTACCACATTGTTCCTTATACAGAAACTTACTTTATTCTTAGGGGCTGTGTCTACACTGGGCCACTTATTCCGGAAAATCAGCCGCTTATCCGGAATAAGCTGCGAGCTGTCTACACTGGCCCCTTGAATTTCCGGAAAAGCAAAAAAGGGCTTTTCCGGAAAAGGAGCCTGCCAATGTAGACGCTCCTTTTCTGGAAAAACTGAAAACGGAATAGTATTCAGTTTTAAGCATTTCCGGAAATTCATGCCAGTGTAGACACAGCTCAGGAGTCTTAACCTGGGCCCTCAACAAGTGGGGACACAAAATTAGAAACTTTTTGCCCAAAGTCCCCAAGGGTGTCTGTGGCAGAAGAAGTTCTCTTATGTCTCAGCCTACAAGGCCATCCTTTCTCCATGTGCACAATATTGCCATGTCCACTATACAGCCCCCATATTTCATTCGCTTCCTGAACTGTACAGTAAGTGAGGCTGGACACTTACGGAAAAGATTTCAGAACTCATTCTAGCTAACGAGAGACAACCTGAGAAACACGTGAGTGAGAGCAGAGGGGTTCTCTTCTTAGAAAGGGGAACCACAACAGCCTTAGAATGGGTCCTGATTGCAGACTCTGCTGTACAGATGCCATCACCTTTCTATAGTTGCATAAACTTCTGCTCCACATACACAGGGCTCTGCCCCTTCAGCTGAAGCTAGAGTGTTGTTTGCTGTCACCTATGGATGGACAGAGGAAACATTCTCATTCACTGCCACTGAAGTCAATAGCAAGAAATTCCTGTTGACTTAAGCAGGACTGGGCCCAAAGCAATCCACAATAAAAATCTGCACTAAAACTATGCTTAGTTACAAGCAATCTTCTTCAAATCTATCCAGCACATACATTTTCAAGGAACCTTTACTCTGTGGAATAGTTACAGGAACTGGAACAAGCCACTAGGTGACAAAGAAACATCAGAGATATGTTGAAATATTTCTGTAATCTAAAATGTCAGATTGCTTAATTGAGACAAGCTGATAAGTGAGAGAAGAGACCTTGGAAAACACTGAGGCTGTGTCTAGACTGGCGAGTTTAGCTGCTTTTGCGGAAAAACTTACCAGCTGTCTACACTGGCCGCTTGAATTTCCACAAGAACACTGACTTCCTACTGTCTGAAATCAGTGCTTCTTGCGGAAATACTATGCTGCTCCCGTTCGGGCAAAAGTCCCGTGCATCAATCAAATAGCCACCTCCTCCCTGCCTCTCATATCGACTTTGTGAGCTCTGTTGGCGAGGTGGGGAACACTGACAGCAATATGTCACACTCTCAAACTCAATCATGAGACCCTCCATATTTATTAAAGCCTCAGGCTATGTCTAGACTGGCATGATTTTCCGCAAATGCTTTTAACGGAAAACTTTTCCGTTAAAAGCATTTGCAGAAAATCATGCCAGTCTAGACATAGCCTGAGGCTTTAATAAATATGGAGGGTCTCATGATTGAGTTTGAGAGTGTGACATATTGCTGTCAGCGTTCCCCACCTCGCCAACAGAGCTCACAAAGTCGATATGAGAGGCAGGGAGGAGGTGGCTATTTGATTGATGCACGGATGGTTAATTGGAAGAATTGTGTTTACTTTGCTGTACAATCAAAATCAAGGAGAGACGTCTATGTAACAAAGGTGCTGTGGGTTTTATATTTCTACAGCATAACAGCAACAGCAGCAAGCATAGGTGCAGCAGGTATGGTCATTGTTCTGACTTCTGTTGGCCTTCCCACTGATGACATCACACTGATTATTGCAGTAGACTGGGCTTTGTAAGTATTTTTTCCATATACTACATTCATAGAACTGGCTGGCAATGCTTCTACTAATGCAGCCCAATATGCCGTTAGCCTTCTTGGCAACAGGGGCACCCTGTTGACTCAAATCCAACTTCTTGTTTACTGTAATCCCCAGGTTCTTTTCTTTTTAGTCTGACCCAAGTATTCTGACTGTACTAATGTAGTTACAGTAGGTCTAATGGCCGTGACCATAGTCTAAGGGGATACACAAAAAGGCTTGGAACCAGGAACTCTGCATTATATTTTGGTCAGTGCCATAGACTTCTTCTGACATGCTGAGGAAATATCTAAAGCACAGTTTTCTTAAGTAGCTAGTGACTTATGGAGGCCAATATTTTTGGATGCCCAGCTTGAGCCTGGTTTTCAAAAGTTCCATGGACTTTAATTGGGATCATGGGGGTTCATCCTGATGAAAGTCAGGCCCCAGGCTCCGTGCCCAATTTTATGAATATAGCTGATGTATCTGTTTGATGCAGGCTGTAATCCATTTGGTGATGGGTTTTCCAGATCTTTCCTAGAGCTGCCAAATAGAACAACGATGAATTCTTCCTTAAAATTTTCTGAGCCATGTAGGTACATTTGCAAGACTCATCTGAGGCTGAGAACTTGCCAGATTCTCTTCTTCCTGGGGTGGGGGCACCAGGAACTAGAAAAAGAAAATTCCTTAGTTTGAGTGGGAAGGAGAAAAACTAGGAGTACAAGAGCATGAACATTTGTGTGGAACAAAGATGGGCAGGAACGCTGGTTCCTTTCTTCATCAGAAATGCCTCCTTAACTGTGAGAACTGGAGACCAAAGTAGAACAAGGGTCTGAGGGAGGGATCACCTACCTTCTGAATACCAAATTAAAAACATAAAGGGCTACCAGAAACCTGATGGTGGGGGTGAAGAGAGAAAAGACGAATATCCTAAGAAATTGGGATGTTAGGCCTATAAATGACCAAGAGCAGAAGCATAAACTTTTAGGAAACTGGGTGCTAAGTTGTAACCCCTCAGTAAACTGGAAGTAATGTTCACTGGAAATTTGGTTGTTCTAGCTGAGGTCCCCTTCCAATACACCATGCCGAGGAAGGACCATGATAGCATGCAAAGGAGGGACTCCTATTGTGAGATTGATCAGGCATCTATTCATAGGTTCTTGCTCTTTCAGGTGCACTGTTACTGACCATACAGACACCAACACTGAGAGCTCTTGGGTCTGGATGTACCTTTAGCCCAGGAAGGAGGTGTAGGTAGATAGGCTCAACACCTTCCCACTGTCAGGATGTCTCAGCTCATCGAGCTATGTCTTTTTGCTGCCATACTGGGATGTGAGGAAGAGAGGACCCTAGGGAGGGCTGCCTTTTTAATTCCTTTGCATAACATGATGAGTATATCTCCATAAAAGGTAGCTGGAGGAATACAGAAACCAGACAGAAGTTCCACAGAATAGCCACATGTGAGCAAGAGCCGCAATTGCGAGGTGTTTACTGTAACAAGTATACCAATAGCTGCGGTGCCTTTCCTTTCAATGTGAATGGGTCCATGGTTCTGCTGATCAGCTAAGTCAAAAATGTCATCCTGTGGAAGCATCTTATGACCTAAGAGCAGCCACTTGACTATTTATGTGGTTTGTGTTTACAGGGTTTTCTTCAACACCAGATTCACTCAAATAGAAGTGAAACAGTATTGGGTTCAGATAGTGCTGCGTGTGGTGATCAACACATTTTCCCCATGTCTTGCAGAGATCTAAACGCACCAGTCTGACTGGTTTAAAATATGTTTCCACCAACGTTCTTTCCCCTCCTAATCACAGTGCTGTAGCACGCCCGGCATGTGTGTGTCAGTTGCAGTGCGGAGATATACGCTCTTTCTCAGTTTGTGTGGACTCTACCACCAACACAGATAACATCACATCTTTGGGTCCCTCCAGACTGCATCCACTGGTTTAATTGCGGGAAGACCCTCAACAGAAATGATGTTGATATGACTGTCTCAGGGGGTTATGGGTCTGGGGTACAATCCAGACCACTGAGGGGTTGTCACCATCTGCCCTGCAATCTTGGGTGTTTCACAATGCTTTGATGTAACTCCCAAACTGAGTTGCTCACAAACTGCCAGAAGTATGCACCAGAATGCAGGTCACACCCTGAGTATTTGCATGCTGCACAGCCCCACCCCAGAACCTGCACTCCCGCAGGAATGGTGCTGACCAGCAGAGTGACCCTAACCCACTCCCAGTCCCAAATCTTCCCAAAATTGTACATATGAAGTGGCCATCCCTTTCCTGAACAGCTAAGAGAAACAATAGTTAGTTTGTTCCTATAAAGACACAAGAACACATCACCGTTTATTAACCTAATGGGTAAATGCACCCTTCTCTGTAAACACTACTGTGAGCTAGCTTATAGTAAACCAAACCAAATTCATTAACAAGTAACAATTAACCTAATTGCCTAGTGTAGACCAGACCTAAATCAAATTAAGTCCACTTTATTCCTGAATGAGAACATGCACACAGGTGTTTAATGCAGTTTAACTAATTCACTTTAAACCCTTATCTTTAGTTAATTCAGTTTAATTTTCCTGACTATGTAGTTAAGACTTCAGATATCTTCTTATTGTTTGGGTATATACATACCATAATCAGGTCATCTCTTAGTCTCCTCTATGATACAGTCTTCAAAATCTCTTCCTTAGGTCATCTCCACACTACATAAATTATGTCAAATTACATTGGTATACAGCAGCCACAATTATATCACTTGTGCAAAATATGCTCCTTGCGTCGGCACATATCCTCACCAGGCTCAATTGTATCAATGCAGAGGGCAGTGCATCATGGGTAGGTATTCTACTGTGCAACTCACCATCCAGTGCAGGGTGTTTTGGGAAGTTTATGCAATAGGGCTGAGAAAGCTCCACCCTTGCATGGGGTGACTGGAAACATGGAACCAACTTCCCATTATGAAGTGTTCTCCATCCCGTAATTTATCTGCATCACATAATATTTCACACCTCTTGTCAAAACCCTTATAAACCCATGCATCCCTCTGTGACGGGGTGTTCCCTCCCTGCACTGAGAGCAGGAGGGGGTTAAACCAGCCCTGAGGGCTGAGAAAGCTCCACCCACTGAGCCTTACTGGGCATGCCCGAGCTGCTCTGTTATAAAAGACAGCAGCCCAGCTCAGTTGGGGCTGGTGGCAGAAGATGTGTTTTGCCAGCTCCAGGCACACCACAGAGACTGTCCAAACCAGTCAGGCTAGGGGCCAGACGTGTCTAGAGACCTCACTGGTCCCAGACCCCAGCAGAAGCAGCCAGAGCCCAGACAAAGAAGGGAAGATGGTAATTCATCGGTGAACAGAGATACTTGAAGCAGGAAGCAGCCAAGGGACAGTGATGGATACAGGGTGAACTGACGCCAAAGCGTCAGTGTTGCAGCTAGAATGTTCCCCGCTGACTCAGTGGCTAGAGAAAGCCACTAATAGGACCCTGGGCTGGAGTGGAAGGGCCTGGACTCCCCTGCCGTGGGGTGCAAACACTCCCACTACCTCCCATCCCTTGAGGGGGGACGGCATCACCCCACGAGTAGGAGGAAGTTATTAACTGGTACTATTGAAGTGTATTGCTCTGTAACCAGGAGCATGTTACAGGCTGTGTCCGGTGGGTCACGGGGAGGGAATTTATTGTCCGGGACCATTGAAGGCACTGCTCCGTGAATCTGGACAAGTTATAGACTGTGGACATGGAGTCACACTACCCCACGAAGGGGGTGAGTCATTGATTGGGACTGGTGAATTGTGTTGTCCTGCAAACAGGAGCAAGGTATAGACTCTGACCATTGGGTCACTCTGCCCCACAAGGAGGAGCAAGTTATAGACTGGGACTAGTGAACTGTTCTGCCCTGCAAATAGGGGCAAGTTAGAGATTCTGATAAATGGGTCACCCTGCCCTGGGGACTAAAGGGATGCATCATACAGAGCTTGGTGGGTGAAGTGGGAGACACGGGCTGGGGAACAAAAGTGGGAAATACGAGAGTGACAGGTGCAAGTCAGATACTTTCATCCCACCCTGGATGGGGCCTTCTCCCCAGCTGTGTTAAAACCTCCTCTGCACTATTGTCATGAATTTGGCAAATATAGGATGCCTCATCCCCAAGAGGTACCTGCATCATATAGGAGGCCCTGCCTCATTCTTCTAGGGGAAGATGGAGAACCCCTGTAGAGACCCATTGCAGTCCTGGCCAGAAGAACTGCAGCACCAGCCAGGAAACCTGGGGTCAGGACCAGGACTCCCACCCCCACATCTAGCACACTCAACAGCTAGCTGAGGTGAAGGGGTGCGGGGAGGAAGCTACCTGCAAACAAAGCAGGTCAAGAGCAGAGGGGGCCTGGCTCAGAATGTGGGTGTAGCCGAGTGCCAAAGAATGGATAGGACTAGCTCGTTAAGCACCAGCACCCTCCCATGCAGGGAGAGGCACCGGAATAGTCCTGTCCATCTGTGCAACTGCTCAGCCACCCTGGACACTAAACTTGACAGTTCCCCTGTGGGGAGGGATATGTGGTAGAAAGGAAAATGCCAAGATAGAGCAGTGACCCTGTGCTCCACCGGATGGCCTGAAGTGCAGGTGGGAAGGAGTTCACCTGCTGCCTGGCCCTGACACCAGGCCAGAGCTCTTGACCCAGTTGACCAAGGTGGAGGAGGCCACCACGTAAATGGGTTGGTAGGCCTCCACCCATGCCAGGTCACCGGGGTCCTGGACCACAAGGAGCATGTCATTGGCGTACGCTGACAGGACCAGCTGCATCTCCACCTAACAGAGCACCAATCCCATCAGCTTCTTGCAGAGGAGATGGAGAAGGGCTCAATGGACAGAGTATACAACTGTCCTGACAGTGGACAGCCTTGATGTACTCCCTGCCCAAAGCTGACCAGTGCAATCAGGGTCCAGTTGAGCTTGATCAAGCTCTCTGTGGAAGCATACAGCACCTGGAG